CAGAAAGCTGGAAGTGGTCTGTGGCTCAAGTGGTAGAGGGCTCTTTTGAGCTGAAGAGCTCAGGGACAGTACCAAGGCCAAGAGTTCAAGTCCCACAATTGACAAAAAAAAAAAAAAAAAGAAAAGCATAAGAAATCTTCCATGAAAACCTGCAATTTTATGAGCACTTTTTAGACTAATTTCTTCAGGGAGATAAACACAACTAACAGGGACAACATGTTTCATGCCTTCCACAGCTGCAAGTCTTTCTGCTTATGGGATCTTTTCATATTATCCTTCAATTGAAAAGAGAACATGCATGAAAACATAGTTCAACTGGGAGCTGGTGGCGCATGCCTGTTATCCTAGCTACTCAAGAGGCTGAGATATGAAGACCATGGTTCGAAGTAGCCCAAGAGCAGAAATGTCTGTGAGACTCATATCCAATTACTCACCCCAAATCCAGAAGTGGAGCTGTGGCTCATGTGCTAGAGCCTTAGCTTTGAGTGAAAAAGGGGCAGTGCTTAGGCTCCAAGTTCAAAACCCAGTACTGCACACACTCTCACAAAAGCAAAACAAATACAATGCCTTGCTTTAGCTTACTGCTCAACGGGTCAGACCCTACCAGTAACCATGCAATACATAAATAATTACAAAGTACTGAAAGAGATCTTGTCCAGGCCCTGAGTTCAAGCCCCAATATCAGCATTCTCCGATTCCCAAATGTTGCAGTTTATATCTTGTTAGAAAACTGTCCAGCCAAAGTGTCTAGACTGTGCACAGAGATTCAGGATAGACACCTGAGAGCATGGAGCACAGCTCAGCACAGGTGCCACTTAGTATCTTCTGAATATCACTGACCACATCTCAAAATTACCTTAAAAAGGCCGTAGGCTTGTTTGGCATTTGTGTTATCTGTGTCTTCTGCCCCATTATGGGTACCTGAGGTTTTTAAGAGCCATAGTGACATTCTAGCAGCTCAATGAAGGGGGCAGTCCCAGCGAGCCATCTGAGCTTCTGCTTGGTCTATTTACACTTGCTCTTTTCCTTCCTCCTCATTTGTAACTCAGGAGGTTGAGGAGACAGCAAGGCTTCTTCCATGGATGGAGGACCGGCACGCTGGGACACCAAGCTCTATGATAAGGTCTGCTATGGAATTTGCTGTTACCTGTAGGCAAACCATCTCATCATGCTGTTTTGGTTTCTTCCTGTGCTTGCCAAATGTAAATAAGATGTATGCCAGTATTTTGTCATTATTATACTTTTTTGTCTGTTGGGGCTTGAACACAGGGCCTGGGTGCTGTCCTTGAGCCTCTTTGTGCTCAAGGCTGGTGCTCTACCACTAGAGCCGCAGGCACCACTTCCAGTTTTGGAGTGATTTATTGGAGATAAGAGTCTCCTGGGGACTTTTCCGCCCCAGCTGTCTTTGAACCGCAATCCTCAGATCTCAGCCTCCTGAGTAGCTAGGAGTACAGGCGTGAGCCACTGGTGCCCAACAATATAGAGTATTTTAAAGGTGTGTATGTTTCTCTAGGCTGGCTGCACAAATTTAAAGTGAAATATATTGGTTTCAAGCCAGGTACAGCACTCAACCACTCAAAAATGGGAAGTAGAGCTGTGGCTTCAACAGTGCTGGCCTTGAGGAAAAAGAGCTGAGGGACAGCGCTCATGCCAAGAGTTCAAGCTCCTGGACCAAAAACAAACAAACAAAAAATTAGTTTCCTAGCAGCCATCCAGTCAGAAGTCCTTGGGATCAACAACAGCCATCAACTTGGTTTATTTGTGACACTGTGAAGCCTTAGGGCTGCAGTTAGGTAGGCTTGTTGCATAGTTTGGGGCACACCTTTTGGTTAGAAATGAGATTAATCATTTTGTTATTTCTGTTACTTACACCCTCTGCCTGTACTTTAGAAACATGAAAACTTTTCCTTAGGGACAGAGCAAATTTATAAGGGACTTATCAGAGAGAGCAGGAAGTGGTGACATTGTAGACAAACTGAGTTATTTGAATTTGCTACTAAACTTTCTTTAAAATGTTTTGGGGGCCTGGTGCCGGTGGCTCACACCTATAATACTAGCTACTCAGGAGGCTGAGATCTGAGGATCACAGTTCAAAACCAGCCCAGGCAGGAAAGGCCATGAGACTACCTTCAATTAACCCCCAGAAAACCGCAAGTGGCGCTGTGTCTCAAGTGGTAGAGCACCTGCCTTGAGCTGAAGAGCTGAGGGACAGTGCCCAGGCCCAGAGTTCAAGTTCATAACCGACAAAAAAAAGTTTTGGGAGCTGGAAATGTGGCTTAGTGGTACTTGCCTAGCATGCATGAAGCCTTGAGTTTGATTCCTCAGTACCACATACACAGGAAAAAGAGGAAAGTTGAATAGAGTGTTAGCCTTGAGCAAAGGAAGCTCAAGGACAGTGTGTGTGTGGGAGGGGGGCATGTTTTGGGTCAGATTTGGTAAGGCATAGGCTTGGGTATTGGTAAGTACTACTCTAGAGCACTCCTGTAATGACTGAGTAAGTACCCTGCCTTGCTCCTTTTTCTGCCACATCCTACGTCATACTAGGTATCAAAACAACCCATTAGAAAGAAGCCAGGCACAGATGGCTCACTCCTGTAATCCCAGCTACTCAGGAGGCTAACATCTAAGGACCATGGTTTAGAACCAGACTGGGCAGTAAAGTCTCTGAAACTTTTTATCTCTACTAAACTACCAAAAATCAGGAAGTGGGGCTGTGGCTCAAGTGATAAGAGTGCTAGCTTTGAGTATAAAGGTCAGGGATAGGGCCCAGGCCCTGAATTCAAACCCCATGACTGGCACAATAAACAAATCCCCCCAAAGATTCATTAGAGCTAGGCGCTGGTGGCTCACTTGGAAAAAAGAGCTAGAAGTGGAGTTGTGTCTCAAGTGGTCCAGTGCTAACTTTGAGCAACAATGCTAAGGGTCAAGCCCCAGTACCAGAACTCAAAAACACCCATTAGGAAAAGGTGATGGGTTTCTTAGCAACTAATAAAAGCATTTGTGGGTAAAGAAATATGTTAGGTTTCTTATCTGTGGGTCAAGACCCCACTATTTCATAAAGGAAAATCTCAAGTACAAAATGAAGTCAACCAAAACTTTAATTTGTCTTGAACAGAACTATAGGTTCTGGTGCAGTTAAATATAAATTCATTCTCCAAAGAAATTTCAGTAAGTGTTATTAGGGGATCTAAGAAATGTATTCCTCCGTAGTAGTAGATTACCTGGTAGCCAACAGGAAGTTCAGACACAGGAACATAATTGTAATCTTTCAGTTATGAAATATGACTTAGGTCTCCTCCTGCTATATACAATTAAAAAAAAAAAAAAAACCCTGGCCGGGCGCTGGTGGCTCACGCCTGTAATCCTAGCTACTCAGGAGGCTGAGATCTGAGGATCGCAGTTCAAAGCCAGCCCGGGCAAGAGAGACCGTGAGACTCCTATCTCCAATAAACCACCAGAAAACCGGAAGTGGCGCTGTAGCTCAAGTGGTAGAGCGCTCGCCTTGAGCTGAAGAGCTGAGGGACAGCGCCCAGGCCCAGAGTTCAAGCCCCACGACTGACAAAAAAAACAAAAAAAAACCTTTCAGGGTAAATCTCCCAGGTCTGAGTTCACTTTTTTTTTTTTTTTTGTCGGTTGTGGGGCTTGAATTCTGGGCCTGGGCACTGTTTCTGCGCTCTACAGTTCAAGGCTAGCACTCTACAACTTGAGTCGCAGTGCCACTTCGGGTTTTCTGGTGGTTAATTGGAGATAGAGTCTCATGGACTTTCCAGCTCGGGCTGGCTTTGAACTGTGACCTTCATATCTCAGCCTCCTGAGTAGCTAGGATTACAAGCGTGAAACACCGGCGCCCGGCTCGAGTTCACTTTTAAGAATGTTGGGGCTGGGAAGGTGGCTCAAGTGGTAGAGCGCTAGCCTTGAGCTGAAGAGCTGAGGAATAGTGCCCAGGCCGAGATCAGGCCCCACGACCGGACCCCCCCCCCCAAAAAAAAATAATGTTGGATTGGTGGCGTTTACCTATAATAATAGCTACTCAGGAGGCTGAATCTATGAGGCTTTCATCTCCAAAGGCCACAAATGGAGCTATGGTTCAAGAGATAGAGGGGTAAAAGGAAAAAAAAAAAAAAAGCTCAGGGACAACGCTTAGGGCAGAGTTAAGACCTATGACAGTCCCCCTGCCCCCCTAAAAGGTAAAGAAGTGTCGGGTACAACTTTGGTCCGTTAGTGGAAGGAAACGAAGCAGCCAGGAGCTCTACTTGGGGGGGGGGGGGGTCTTCATTGATGAGGGTACCACAATGGTCCCACGACTGGTGGGTAGCTCCCAACTGAGGCGGAACCTTCACTCCTGGTTCCTGGAAACGTGTGGCCCGTCCGTCACCGGTCAGGCTGGGGAGCCAGGAGCTGCCAGGGACGGAGGGGCCGCGAGGAGGGGGAGGATCGGGGGGAACAAGCACCCTCCGCGCCCCTCCTTCCCCCCAGCCCCGTCCCCGCGCCGGCTCTCCGCGGGACTGCCTCGGTCCGGGCAGCTCCACCTGCGATCGGGAGACGCGGCCGCCCCAGCACTGGCCGCGCACGCGCGCACGTCTCTGAGCAGCGCCGGGGGCTGTCCCCACGGCCGGGTCACAGTCCCGCCGAGGAGCAGGCGCAGGGGCCAGCAGGTACAACCACCACGGAAGGACGGCGGCGCCTTCCGGTCTCTCAATCCTATCCAAATCCCTCCACCAGGACCGCGGCCTCGGGGACTCACAGCTGGGCAGACGCGCGTCGCAGCCAACACTCCCTTCCTCCCCCCCTCCCCACTGGTTCCGCCTCTTCCCGGGGCGGCCGGCCCGCTGATTGGGCAGAGGGAAATGCGCCGGAAAAGCACAGCGCCTCCGTCGTCGCTCCAATGTGCCCCGTGTGGAAACCAACCCTGGCGGCTGCGCCGTTCCGCGGGCGGAAGCGAAGGGGACGGTAGAAGGCCGCGCGCCGGCCGCGCTCTCCCCCCCACCCCCTCCCACCCCCTTCCCCGCCTCGGCCCCGAAGCGGCCGGATGGGCGGCGAGTCGGACACCATGGCTCGAGCCGCGACGGCAGCGGCGGCGGCGGCCGGAGGCGGCGGCGCCACCTCCTCCTGCTGCTCGCCCCGGCGGTGATCGGAGCGAGCGGCCGCGGTTCCCCCCCGCCCCACCCCTCGATGAGACTGCTGGCATCCTGGCTGTGCCTGAGCCTGGCGTCGGTGTGGCTGGCGCGGAGGATGTGGACGCTGCGGAGCCCGCTCAGCCGCTCCCTCTACGTGAACATGACGAGCGGCCCCGGCGGGCCGGCGGCGGTGGGCGGCCGGAAGGAGACGCACCAGGTACGGCGGGGCGCGCGGGGCCCGCGGGGCGGGGCGGGGCGGCGGCCTTCCCGCGCGCTCGGCCCGGCCCGGCCATTGTGCGGCGCGGAGCGGCGCGGTGCGGGCCGCCCCCTCCGTCCCGGCCCCGCCGAAAGTTTGCCCCGCCATCTCGGCGCTCCGGGCTCCGGGCTCCGGGCCCTGGGGCCCCCGGGCGCCACGGAGCCTTTTGTTTCGCGGTGTGGGCGTAGGACGGGCCTTCCTCCCCGAGCTCGGGCCTGGGCACCCCGGATCCCTCCCTCCTCCCCCATTGTTCCCGGCCCCCCCCCCCCCCCACTGCCACCCCTCCTGTCCCCGTGGTGTCTGCTGTCTGCTGTCTGCCGGCGGGCTGGAATAACTTTAGATCCGGAGCCATCCATCTGCCACCCTGGAAGAGATGGAGCCAAACCCACACCAGGCCCCGGACTGCTTCCCTACCCCCACCCCTCCCCTTCGCCCCCCACCCCCCCCGAGATACGCGGTAGAAAGCCTTAGTCCCTCTTTTTGTCTAGCTGAGTCTCTGATACAAAGGGTCGTAAAGAAATGTAACTGGCGCCCGACGAACCGTTCCGTTGACATTTACCAACCCTCCCTCCCCCCTCACAGCGCTTGAAAAATGCCTTTGACAGCTGAGGGCGGCTCACGCCTGTCATCCCAGCTACTCTGGAGGCTGAGGTCTGAGGATCGTGGTTCAAAGCCAAGCCGGGCAGAAAGTCTCTGAGACTCTTAACCTCCAATTAACCATTCCAAAGCCGGAAGTGGAGCTGTGGCTCAAAGTGGTAGAGTGCTAGCCTTGAGCAAAAGAGCTCAGGGGCAGTGTCCAGACCCTATGACCGGTCCAGACCGGCCTCCCCTCTCCTCCCCCAAAAGTCTTTGACAGGTCCCCCACTCCTCACCTGCGGACCCTCTTCTCCTTTTCTAGGAGATATGCCCTTTAAACTTGTGTTGAGTTAGCTGACCGGAAGGATCGTGAGGAGGAATGATGCAAGCTATTAACCAGGAAGAGATTTAAAATAATGGAGCAGGAGAAACTTGTTTTACGACTAGGAGTTGTGGGTCCAGAGTCGTGTGAGGGTCACACTTTTACCACTTTGAGCCACAGGCCCACTTCTGGCTTTTTCAGTTTTTGTGGTACTGAGGAATTGAACCCAGGGCTTCGTGCATGCTAGGCAAGCACTCTACCTCTAAGCCACACTCCCAGCCTTTTCTTTGGCTCAGTGGAGTGCCAAGAACATGGAGTATGTATAGGTCAGCTGTAGAATTCTTTGACTGCAGTGTTACAGTGTAGTTTGTGGTTATCCTTGCTTAATTATCTCTGTGTGTCCCCATGCTCCATTGCCTGTAGTAGGGCTTGAACTCTGGGCTTGGGTGCTGTCCCTTAGCTTTCTTGAATTTATATCAAAGAGGGCTTTGAACTGGGAAGTGCTGGCTTTTGTGTGTGTGTGTGTGTGTGTGTGACAGTACTGGAGCTTGAACTCTAGGCCTCACACTCACCTGGCTTTTTTTTGCTTAAGGCTGGCACTCACTTCTTGAGCCACGGCTCCACTTCTGTCTTTTTGGTGGCTAATTGGAGATTACAGTCTCTTGTGTTTGTCTGCCTCATCTGGTTTCAGGCCATGATCCTAAGATCTCAGCTTCTGGAGTAGCTAGAATTACCTGTGTGAGCCGGTAATGGGGTACCTGACTTCTGGCCTTTTGCTGGTTAATTGTAGATAAGAGTCTTAGAAGTTTGTCTTCTTGGGCTAGCTTTGAACTTTGATTGTTGACCTAAGCCTCTGGAGTAGCTAGGATTACAAGCATGAGCTACAGTTGCCTGGCAGTTTGGCTTACAGTCAGCATTTGTAGTCCATTTTGTCTTTCTAGAGAGCAATAATGGATTATTGTCATGTCATCTTGTGTCCCATAATTCTCAGGTTTTCAGAAAACTTGCATCCAGCTTGATTTCATGTTTTAATAAAGGTGAAGAATTCTCTAAGGAAGAGATAAAGTGATTCTCTTATAAAAATAACATTTAGTTCTTTTTTTTGGGGTGGGGGGGCGGAGATACTAAACCAGGGCTGAAACTCAGTACCTGACACCTTTGCTCATTGGCTGGTGCTCTACCAACTGAGCCATGCCTCCAACCCTAGCATTTAGTTTTTATGAAGTAACTACTTGTACTAGTTAGTTTATAAATATATTGTTTTTGTGGTATAGGGGATAGAGAGTAGGTCCTGGAGGCTGGGTTTCATTTACCACTTCACTGTATTGCTATTTATTTTGCTGGCCCCAGGGGCTTGAACTCAGGCTATCCCTGATCTCCTTTTGCTCAAGGAACTTTACCACTTGAGCCACAGCTCTAATTCTGGTACTTTCTTTTGGTAGTTTATGGAATACAAAGAGTCATGGACTTTCTTGCCAGGGCTGGCTTTGAACCTCGATCCTCAGATCTCAGTCTCTTGAGTATAAGCTAAGATTAATAGTTGTGAGCCATGGGCACTTGGCTCCATTTTATTTTATTTTTATTTATTTATTTATTTTGGGTCCGGTCGTGGGGCCTGAACTCTGGGCCTGGGCGCTGTCCCTCAGCTCTTCAGCTCAAGGCTAGCACTCTACCACTGGAGCCACAGCGCCACTTCCGGCTTTTTTCTTTTTGCTTATGTGGTGCTGAGGAATCGAGCCCAGGGCCTCAGGCATGCAAGGCAAGCACTCTACCACTGAGCCACCTTCCCAGCCCCTCCATTTTATTTTTAATGGAATCCTAAATTTCTATATATTTTTTTGAAATATGCCAGTGATTGCGATGATGTGTATTGTTAGGAATGTATATAAACTTAGTATGCAGTCAGCATTATGAAATTGCGTGTATTGTCATGGCTTAACTACTTAGCATTGTATTTGAAGTATTATTCAATGTATGATATAGTACTACTGTCAGCACTGTCACACGCCTGTGGAACGTGAATGGTGATGGAGGAAGATGCATTGGAAATGTCATTTTTGCCAAGCAGGTAATAGAAGGTCCTGCCTGAATAGGAAAAAAGGAGGCTTGTTTCCTTTGACATGGAGTTAAATAAAGTTGGGCCTCTTACGTGTTGGTGTTTATGATGACATTTGTGATTAATGCAGCAACTTGGTATGTTTTTAGTGCCTATATAATTTCAACATTGTTTATTTTACTTTATTTTATGGATGTAGTAGACATGGCCTCAGTATTTCCAAAAGAGAGTACTAACTGTACTGAATTTTTTTTAGACTTAAAAAAAATTGTTGTTATAAAAGTGATGTACAGAGGGGTTACAGTTACATAAGTCAGGTAAAGAGTACATTTCTTTTTGGACAAAGTCACCCTTTCCCTCACTCCCAGTTTTTTACCTCATATTCCCACCCACAAGTTGTTTAGTTCATTTTCAACATAGTGTCCAGTGAGTACCACTGCTGTATTTGCTCACCCTTTGTCCTCCCATTTCTATATATCCCCTTATACTACTAAAATATACTCGATTTTAAAGCTGAATTAAAAACTGGATATTTCAGGTTCTGGGTGTGTGTGTGTGTCTGTTAGTTAACCAGCTGTATTAGCAAGTTGGTAGATAATTACTCCAGGAAGAAGATTATTCTGGTGCTTTCTGAGTATTAAAGAGGATCATCTCTTAGAATCAGACATGATTTATTGTTGCTATTATTGTCCTTTTTGGAGACAGGGTCTCACTGTGTGGCCCAGACTGGCCTCAAAGCTCTGGATCCTCCTGCTTTATCCTCCTCAGTGCTAGGATTACAGAAGTATACCACCATACCCAGTCAAATGTTCTTTTGAGATGAGTACATTTACATTATGGAAGTAATTGTCCAGGAATAACGATTAAAATGAACAAAAGCAGTGTGTACAGAAACCTCTGGAGATGAAACCAAGCAGGAGACTGTCCTTTGTGCATTGTTGCTGAGTTGATGATGTGCTATTTCTTTTATATTTCAGGATCCCAGGCTTGCCACAGAACTTCGTTACTTGTGAAGTAACTTTAATGTTTTTTTTTCCCCCTTCAAATTAATAGTTTTATACAAAGTCTTCTGGTGTTCATTTGGGCGTGTGGGTTCCATAGCCAGCCACATCTGGTTCTTTTGGAGTTGCATGAAAGTAGGGTTATGGATTTGATTGAACTGTACTTAGCACAAATTTTCCTTCTGGTTGTTTTATTAAGGAATTATAAGGAGGGTTCTTGGGTTAAGAGAGATCTTGGGTAATGTGTATTCATTAGAAATTGCGATTTCGTTAGGATAGCCTGGAGATACACGGCGCCTTCATTAGGTTTAGCTCTAAAACTGAAGTCGCAGTGCCATTTTACTAACTTGGGGATTTACATTTCACTTTGGGCAAGTAAGAAGCTTTCTAGGTGCCTGTGGCTGATGCTTAAAATCCTAGCTGCAGCCAGGCACTGGTTTCTCATGCCTATAATTCTAGCTACTCAGGAGGCTGATATCTGAGACTTGCAGTTTGAAGCCAGCCTGGCAGGAAAAGTCCATGAGACTTATATTCTATAAAGTACCAACCTCCCTCCTCAACAAGCCCACTCCCTCCCCCCGCAATACTCCCCAAAACCAAACTGTACATGGAGGTGTAGCTTCAAGTGGTAGAGCACTGGCCTTGAGCAAAAGAAGCAGAGAGACAGCACCCAGGCCCTAAGTTTATGCCCCAGGACTGGCACTCTCCAAAAACAACAACAACAATAACAATCTAACTGCTTAGGAAGCTGAGATCTGAGGATTCCAGTTTGAAACCAATCTTGGCAGACAAATCCAAGGGATTCTTTTTTTTTTTTTTTTTGTCGGTCGTGGGGGCTTGAACTCTGGGCCTGGGCGCTGTCCCTCAGCTCTTCAGCTCAAGGCGAGCGCTCTACCACTTGAGCTACAGCGCCACTTCCGGTTTTCTGGTGGTTTTATTGGAGCTAGGAGTCTCACGGTCTCTCCTGCCCGGGCTGGCTTTGAACCGCGATCCTCAGATCTCAGCC